AAAAATAGAGTCCCTTCAGCTTTTACAGCATTTGAGGTTGGGTTTTTAAATTAAAGAGCAATTTTGCTTCATGGATATTATTCCAGTGTGGTTATCTTTTGGCTTGACCATGGGTGAAGGTGGAGGAATTTTTGCTTAGTGGGCATTCAGTTTATTTTAATGTTGGTGGAACAATTTGGAGAGAGATATCAATAATGGTTGTACAACGCAAAGTATATAATCAATAACATTGAATTGTAAAATCATGTAGAAGTTGTTGAACTGGAGAGTGTTTTGTTTTGTATATTTTTGCCAAACTTGAAAAAGAAACTTGAATAACAATAAGCATGGGGAAAAAGAAAGTGTTCTATAATTGATTGTGGTAAAGATTGTACAACTCTTCTTGATATAATTGAACTATTGAATTGTATGATATGTGGATGAAGTACCAATAAAACAGTTTTTAAAAAATCCCAGAAATGAATGCTTTGTCTTTCTAATGAATGGGTTCCTTCTAGCAAAGAACCTGAATTCACTTCTTGCCATTTCTTTTTTAGATTCTGGATCTGTTTCACTTCCCAGACAAGTTGACAGCTCGGCAGTTTCAGAGGATAGCCACCACTACCTTTATTACCATATCAAGAGAACGCCCACAACTGGCGGCTGAGTATTTGCTGCAGCCAGTGCTGGCTCCTCTTCATCGATGTCTGAATACAGCAGGTAAGGAGGAAGCCTGGTAGCAGGGTGTCCCTCAAATGTTTTAGGCTTCCATGATTTAAGTCGATGTGATTTCAGTCTTGAAGACCTTGTCTTTCTTTTTTTTTATCATCTCTATTAATACAGTATTTATTTGTCTTCCCTGTGTCAAACCCTGAGCCAATTTCTTTCCCTGGGCTGCCTGGGGAGGTGCAGGGAAAGCGACATATAGGGCAGACTAGACAATAAGCTCTTCAGTCGAGTCTGAGGACGAGAACTCTGGGAGGTGAAGAAGGCTCCTTCACATGGTGAAGAGGATGAGGAAGGCCACCACCAGGCAGTAAAGTTCCATGGCCTCCGAGAGGGCAAAGCCCAGAATGGTGTAGGAGAAGAGTAGCTGCTTCAGAGAAGGTTCCTGGCATCATCATTGATGAGGCTCCCAAACCCAGTCCCAATGCCAGCTCCAGAGCCCGCCACTCCAACTGTGGCAGCCCCGGCCCCAATGCACTTGGCGGCTATGTCAGTGTCCCTTGAGGCAGCGCTGGTCTGGAAGCTGCGACTAGGGATGAGTGAGGTCAGGGAACGTGGGTCTGTCCAGCTGCTGAAGCGTGTGTCTGTCAGTGTCTCGGGCCGTTTCTGCACCAACACAGACAGTGGTTGGCGCAACAGCTGGGAGGAGCTCCTGACCAGGGAAGGGGTGGAGATGAATTTGGCGCCAGCATACAGTTTGGGGGGATGAGGGGCAGTGGTGGGAGAGCAGTTCCTAGTGCAGAGAAGACAGAGCCAAAGCATTTTTATAAAAAAAATTATGTTTTATGTGAAAGTTCACACAGCAGATTAGTTTCCCATCCCCCATTCTGCACACACACCACACACACCGTTTAGAGACATTGTGTCCGCTCTCATTTCTGTCCTGATTCCCTCCCTCCAGCTTCCCTGCCCCTCCTTGTCTTCTCATCTTTTGATTTGAGGCAAATATTGCCCATTTGGTCTCCAATAGTTGGATGTTGTGAGGAACCCATTCCTCACAGTGTTATTTTGTGAGCCAAACTATTATTTGGCTGGAAAGTACCTCTGGAAAGGGCTTCTGGCCCAGGTTAAAAAGGTCTGTCTTGCAACAAAGCCCACATGGAACAACATATCAACCTGTGTGATCACAAGGTGTCAAAAGGATCACTGAAGACAAATGGGTGCATAAGCAAAT